ATAAAGAACTATCACAAAGTCTAACGGTGTCATTTACAATTACTGCTACATATAATGTTTATATTACTAACTGATCAATAACTATTTGGTTTTCCAAATGACACACAGTTATTAAAACATTTTTATTTCTAACTTACAATGGATTACACATCATAAATCATTAGAAAATTAGTAAGGAACAAACACTGTATTTACTTATTTACACCTGTCATTGAGTTTTTCCTTAAAACAAATGAGAATATATGTTTAAGCCTTGAGAAAATAACCATGAAGCTACTAAAGAGCAGCCACACATTTGAACCAATGATGTGTTAGTGAGCGGGCCAGAGAAACAAATCTTTACAATGATCTCAGCAGTCTGAGTCAAAACAAAACAACTGCATGAACATACTTGAAGAAGACACCCAGCTGAAGGATGATTACAGCAGCCAACAACTCTCAACATCCACATGGCATCTGATTACTGTCCGGAAAAAGGCTGGAAAATCCAAAACCTCTGATTTAAAAGCAACTAAATACAACAAATACAACACATCAGCTGTCCAACTGTGTAAAATCAAAGTTTGAAACAAAGACTTGAGATCTGACTGATAAAACTCAAAGACAGTCCGAGCAGTTTAAGAATCAACTGTTCGTGTTTTACACATAATGAGAGCAAAGACCAGGAGAGTCCATTCAAATAGAAATAAACTGTGATGTTGGGAGGTAACTAAAGTCATTTCATTTATAAATCACATTTTAAAACAACATGTTGACCATCAGGATCTTAAGCGGCTGTCCGGTCTGAGCAGGCCAAGCTGGGAGGCCGCTGTGGCGTCAAAACAGGCAGTGTCCTCCTGAGAGGTAGCGGAGCCAAGGGAGAGAAGAACCGAGTGGAAAGAAGGTGAAAAGAGGAAACAGAGCTGTGGTTTTATCAATAAGGTGTCTGAAGTCACAGGTCTTGACCAATTGAGGCTGCAGTTGGGTCTGTAGGCCGAGTTCAAGCGTCTGCGTGACCTTTGGAGGATACTGGGAAACTGAGTTCAATGACTAGCATGACAATTAAGATCCTAAATGACCTCTTCACCTTTGTGAGGTTCCTGTGATCTCAAAAAATGTATCAAAAACGCTGCTACTAAAAGGTTTCTCCCCTGTGTGGATTCTCATGTGTGTGGACATATAGCTTTTGTCACGGAATCTTTTTTTACAAACTGAGCAGCTGAAGGGTTTTTCTCCTGTATGAATTCTTATGTGTGAGGTCAAAGTTGAGTTTTGTGTAAATCTCCTACCACAGACGAACAGCTGAAGGGTTTCTCCCCTGTGTGGACAGTTGAGTGTCGTCTCACATCTGACTTTCGTGTGAATCCTTTACCACAGACAGAACAACTGAACGGTTTCTCCCCTGTGTGGGTTCTCATGTGTTTGGATAAACTGCTTCTGTTATTGAAACTTCTTTTACAAACTGAGCAGCAGAAAGGTTTTTCTCCTGTATGACCTGTTAAGTGTTTGGTTAAAACTGATCCTTTACCACAGACAGAACTAAGTGGCTCCTCTCCACTGTGCTCCTGCAGATGTACCTCATGGCCAAAGCTTGTAGCACATTCAGAGGAGCTGCTTGATGTTTTTCCAGTACAACATTCCTGATCACTTACAGGTACTTTACTGTTTTGCAGAGGGTTTAACCTGACTCAGGTTCTCTGGTCTCCTCCCAGTCACAACTGTCATCAGTTTCAGTTTCAGATGAGTGAAATCTTGTCATGAGTAGCCGGTTGTAATGTCCGTCTGCATCAGAGTTCCTGGCTGGTTCTGGTCCTCCACAGTCCTCTCCATCAGCTTCTGTTTCCATCTGGTCAGTTTTTTGTCTCAGTCTTTGATGAAGCTGTGAGGACTGAGGTTTCTCTTCATCTAACTTACTCTTCACAGGGACAGGAGTGAATGTGAATTTGATGAAATTAGCCTCCTCCAGACGTTGAAGCTGCTCCCCTCCTGACTGACTGATCAGGCGTTCCTCCTGTTCCTCTTTAATGTGTGGGGGCTCTGGTGGGTCCTCATGGTCCAGACTGGAGCTCCACTCCTGCTGCTCAGGGGGAACCTCTTCTTTACTCACCAATAGCAGCTGGACGTCTGTGGAGAATAATGAAATACATACACACATCTTAAAAATTCCAACTTCCTGTTAACATTTAAACCACTGACACAACTACTTTCTAAAATGTGTCGATAAATTATGCACATTTTGTCCGACATATTTGGAACCAGGGGTGGAAATTAACTTTTTGCCTCACCTGCAACTATATTCATAAAATTTCTTATAAAGCGTATCACTACTACAGGCCTAATATTAATTGTGGGTTGTTTTTATTTATAAAATTCTTGTGCAAGGAAAACAGTCAACGTTGGTCTTTTATTGTTCATTTATTGGTCTTTCAGAATTTATTAATGCCAAGTACTCACAAAATCACAACCATTCATGCACAAAAATAACAGTAGGTTGCAGTTTTTGGTGGAGATGACTACATTGAAAGAAGTTCTAGCAGCGGTTTTGGAAAGCAGAGATGAGGATGAGAGACGAGTTTCGGGGCCTGACTGTTTTGATTCTTACGATGAGGAGGATTACACAAAAGAGATCCATTTGACGATGGGGTAAGCGCATTTATTTTATAAAACCTTGTTTCCAATGGTGCACTTAGTGCTTGGCTAACTGTGACCATTTTGGCTAAAATAAGCTGCGTCTGTGCTGCTTTGTGTTTCAGTAAGTTGTCATGAACTTTGACAAACTGACTCCAGGGAAGTTATTTTCTTGTGCAGAAGTGGGATACACTTATAAATCATAACGTTGTAGGCATGTAGGCTGTTCTATGTGATATCCTTTAGATAACTAATGTGATATATCTTCACCTCCATTCACAATTTGAATAACGTTATCTCTTGTAGTGATGAGTAAATATGTTTTGGCCATTGACTATTTTATCATAGTACTTGTACAGATATGGTCTTTCATATCATTTTATCCATTTATGTTCAGTATATTCATACTGAATGAGACTAATTTGTTTTTTTGAGAGGATTCCCAGCTGCCCAGGGCCCAGTGAAACACAGACAGCGTGACCTGTGCCTGCCACCAGGTCACCACCAGGTCACCACCAGGTCACCACCAGGACCCCAACAGCAACCTGCACCCCCATCTACTCAGGAGCCAGCTCGAAGACGGACAAAGACCCAGCCATCGCTCTCCATCTCCAGGTTTTAACCAGCTTGGACACAGGGCTATGCTCATAACATGCAAATTATGTAAATAGTGGGACTTTCCTGTGTTTTTTAATACATATTTAGTCTTTATATATAAATATTGTTTAAAAGTTAAAACATGACAATTTGTACATTATGTAAATATTGTCAATAGTGTGTTTTATTTCTGTGTGGCTTTTATACACATAGTAAACATTTTACTTGAAAGAAAGACCTAAAATAATGCTTGTTTTGTATTTGCACATCCCCATAAAACCTGATATGTAGTAGGAAGTGATTATACGGTCCTGTTTTATTTCAGTCCCTCTAACATTAGGTCAAAGTAGAGTCACAGACAACACTCAAAAAACGATTGTTCAAAATGTCACTTTAGACAATTATTATGCATTATCTACAATTTTATTCATATATATCACTACTTTTGTGACCCCAAGACTTTGGTAAACCCATTTCAAACACCAAAAGAATTCATCCACATGACTAATGGTATGTTTCCACAAGAGGTTTGAAGAATTTCAAAAATCGGACTTACATTTTTCAACTTTAGAGGCACATTATCTCTCTCTCTCTTTACACAATGCTCTTGGGGGTTTTCTGCACATTTTGCAAATTGTTTTTATCGTAATGTTTTCCTAACAAATGTACAGCTGTCCTTATTTACGATAGCAGTGAATTTCACTTTAAAACGGTAAGGGTGCAAAATTAAACCAAAACCACATCTTACACAATGTCTAAAATACATTCAAACCCCCATTTGGATCAGCTGGAAAATGAATCTTCACAAAGATGAAAACAGGCTGTTTCACTGACTGTTTAGAGATACGTGGTTCTCACATTTCATAAACAGTGATGCATTTCTGCAGATTAAACTTCCCAGCAGGATACAAAGGAGTTAAAATGACCTTAAACATCTGCAGCAGTAAAATGCAGCATTAATGCAGCAGGAATATTAATCCAGAAACATCAGATATAACAGAGAAACTCTGACAGGAACATTTTACTGCACTGTGAGTACTTTTACTGTCATACTGTAAGTACATGTTGCTGATAATACTCACATACTTTTACTGAAGGAAGGTTTGAATGCAGGACTTTTACTCGCAGTGGAGTATTTTCACAGAGTGGTATTAGTACTTTTACTGCAGTAAAGGCAGTTTACAGTGAGAATAAGCAGTAAAGTGCACAAACCTGCTCTGTGTAACCGGACTTCAGGCTTGAAAACAGCGTCCAGTAGTTTGCGTTGTCCACAAAGTTCCTCCTCGTACTCTGCTATCGTTCTTTCAAACAGCTCAAATATCTCTTCAGCAGCCGCACTTAGTCGCTGCTGGACAAAAGCTCTCAGCGTTTGGACTTTAGACATGTTTACAGCAGCTTTTCCTCCAGACACACTCCGTTACAGACACGCAGCTCACTCTGATAAAATACACACTGTGAGGCCGAGCTCCGGCTCCGGCTACTTCCTGCTGACAAGCTAACTTCCTTTAGCATTCTTGGCTAACAGGAGATGAGTCTGAGGTGAAACATCCCGAAAGTTTAAACAGAGTCCACTTAAACACGTTGATCCTCACATGCAGGCTCTGCTGCTGAACTCCCAGTAGGGATATATGGTAACGGTAAAAAGTTAGCATGTTATCCACAGTACACTTGCTTCCGGTCCCACTTCTTTGCTGATTTTCAAATTAAAAGTGACCAAAGCCTCATATCTCTTCGTCAGGAAATAACAATGGAAGAAAAAAATGCCATAGCAACATGTGTAAATGTATCCATTTTAATAAATACAACCACAAGTAAAATTATTTTGTGGAGACAGATTATAATAGTACATTTGATTTAACAATCAAAAAGACAAAACTATGAATCAACCCCCAAATAAATAAATATTTTCTGCATTTGGAAATGGCTTAGTAGTGTCTGTTATTAGTCTTTTGGAACTGTTCCTCACACTCAAAACTAATAAACAACACAAACATTAGCAGAAATGTTCATTAAAAAGTACAAAAGTTGGATTTCCCTGTTTCTGAATGTAGAGAGATTGCTGCCATCCAGTGGACGTCAGGGAAAACATCATCTAAACCAGTCATAAAAAAAGGTATTCCTGCAGTATTTGTGTTTAAATGTTTCTTATGCTGTAGAGAATAAACACATTTAAAGTATAGATTTCTATGTGTATTATATATGCAGACGTTGACCCTATTAGAAATAGGGCCAAAATGTTCTACCAAGAAGACTCATATCAGTACAGTCAGGACAATTACTGTAAATTATTTAAGACCAGCTGCTTCATTACTGAACTCAAGCATTAGGGGAAGTGAGGAGGTACTCAGTGTATGCAGTTTCTGCACACATTGGAGGTTCTGTTCTTTGCTTGAGCGTTTCTATTTCATGTATACTTTGTGCTCTGCTCCACTGCATTTCAGAAAGGAATATTGTACCTTTTGCTTCACTACATTGATCTGATAGAAACCAGTCACCCTCACCTGAGGCCAAGAGGTAACGTTTGTTAAGTTTCCTGGGAAGTGATGATAGGACAGCGTTGTAAGTGGGGGATAAGTGGTGGCTGACTCTGTTAAGCGACGGCTTCTCAACCCTGGTGTAGATTCCTTCCTTGACACCTCTTTCAAACCATCCATCTTCTCTGTCTAAAATGTGCACCTGGTGCATCGTTGTTGTCATCTTCCTGCATGTTGTTCACAGCACCAACACCAAAACATGTATGTGTTACCAAAGTGGGAAGCTCCGATACATTCCTTCCACCTTGGAACCAAATGGATCCAGATTATTAACAGATTAAGTCCCCTAAGTGCTTCTCTTGCAGTGCGATTTTAAGCAGCAGTTACGATGCTGGATTTTTGAGCTTTTCCAGGTTCAGAGGGTTTAAAACAAAACAGACTAATTTTAAACATGAGCTGTGATAGAAAACTAAAAGAGCTGCATTATGGGTACTAATTTGGAAGAACAATGTATTTCAAATGAATTTGGGCATCTTTCCTATGATTGGATTATTGATGGTGTGAGTGGAAGCAGTCACTTCTCCTCCTCTCCTGCAGCAGTGTCACGATGGACCAACACACTGTAGGAAATAATAATAATAATCAGCCTGCTACTATCTAGCACATTAAAGTAATTCAATGTTTTTTACTAATAAAGAATAAGCTCTTTGTGCAGAGAATGCAAAAATTTGTGCATAAGATTTACACGTGCAAACATTAACAGTATACCAGTGGGGAAACACAGGAGCACTAACAAACCAGGAGGTATCCATCACCTACAACAACACCACAGAGATTAAATAAATAAAATGTTTTATTGTGCATCACCTTGGTTTGTTTCTTAGAACATCACCTAGTTATGACTTTTCATCTGAAGCTTATCCAACATGAAGTAATTTGTTTTGTACCTGTCAAGAAACAAAACCTGTTATTCATAGTAATGTTGTATCTTGTGCACCTGCAAAAATAAATAAAGAGATGAGTTTCAAAATGTATTATGCAATAACACCAGCACACACAGCCTGTGTCCTGTTTAAACTTTACTTTCGGTTTCGGTTACTTTCGGTCGTCGTGGCGCAGCTTGTTTGATCCCTGGAAACGTAATGTAAACGAATGTTTCACTGCTTTACACTTGAATGAATCTTTGCGCATCTTGTGGCTAACTGTTATTAGCTTGTTGCTGTAAAAATATTATGTTAAATTAACTCAGAACACTGGTTAATAAATATAAATAACGCAAGGCACTTGTACCCGCCATGTTGATATATTTGGCAGTTTAAACAGTGGAATAAGAGCAGAACTACAGTTAGTTTATCCTCGGAGTTGTTGTTGGTGTAGCTCCACTTACTAATGACTGAAGGCATCTTTTCCTGCCTGAAGCAGCCTGTGCAGGAGGCGGAGACGAGCCGCTGTCTGAGACTCTAAGCGCTCGGCCGGTGTTCAGCAGAGTTTTGTCGACATGCCGAGAATTGCGTGCACCTCCAAATGCTGCTTTTAAACGCTATAATATTCTTTGTGGCCTTCATCAATGGTGATAAATGATTCTAAGTAAATATTTTATGAACGTTTAGAGTCTTTAATATTTTAATACACTTAGTAGAAGTACCATTCCTTGACATTCAGTAAATATATGTGGTGATAACGCCGTTTGATCAGCAAAGTGTCTGTCACGTAAACCTGTTGCTATCTTTGTATATCCTTAATACAGATGAGGAGGCGGTACGTTGTCTTAGCTTGACTTTATTCCAACACGTCGTAACCTAACACACACTGAATCTCCCCACCTCTTCCGGTATCTCCGTAAAAGGACCTAAAGAGGTGGATGCATAATTCGGCAGATCAAATTTTGTAGGCTACCTGCAGAGATTTGCATCCACCTCTTTTCTCAGCATAAATGACCGTTTTCACTCGCGAGGTGCATGCAATTCTCGGCAGGCAGGCAGAATTCGGCACAACACCTGTTATCACCGCTCCTCCATGCAGGTGTGTGTGCTGGGCTGCAGCTTCATGCCTCCATCTAGTGGACTGATAGTAGAAGTCCAGCAGCTGATGGCAGCTTCCTCTGCCTCACGCTGCTGTCTGACTGCATTCAGCTGCCACTGATATGAAACAGAAACTAGCAGCCAATCAGTGGAGGAGCAGCTGATCTTTTTCCAGGAGGAATGATGGAAAGGAGGATTTGAGTTGATGTGCAGATGAATGATTTGTGTTTCCTCTCCAGTGAAAGTGGATGTGAGTTGAGCAGCATGAGTCAGTGTGAGGACAGAGAGGAGGGAGTCCCTCCCTCTAAAAGCACTCTGTGTGGGGAACATGACAGCCAGACCAAAGCTCAGAGGTGAGATGAGGATCTCTAACTGTCCAGGACTCAAATCACTCCACCATCATTATTCACTCTCAAAGCTCTGTGTGTGTTGTGTTGAAGCCCAGAGCAGCAGCAGGGACCAGACTCTGCTGGACCTGGACCTGGACCTGAGCCCAGCTGTGTGTCCTTCAAGAGCGACTGGTCAACTGATCGCATCATTAATTTTAAAGGACAATCCTTTGCTGCAAAACGGTGAACTGTTAATAACATCAAAATATTACTAATTCATGTTTTATTAAACCTGTTTATTTTCACCAGCTTTCTTTTTCACATATATTTATATTTTCACATCCAAAAGATGCCCAGTATACCCTGTCTTCAGCTGTTGACTCCAGTTTAACACTTTCTTCCCACACATTCTGTTATCTGATGACTACATGAGTATAAACAACTCGTTCATACTCCCATCTCGTCACATATGGACACTTGGTCAACACCCCTTGGTGGTGTTGCTCTGCGGTCAAGTTAGAAATAATACATATGCAATGTCCGGTTAGACTTAAACCTAGACTCAAAGAATAAAACTAGTGGGTTATAATAATTATATTACTTACTTTATTGTTACTTAAAATAAAATAAATGTTGACATTTTGTTTCACATGGGAAACAAACTTCTGGGTCCCCTGGGTGAAAGTCCGGTTTATGGCTCCCACATCCACCACAACCACCTCCTTATTCAAAATGCTATTAGATGCCCTGGGAATGAAAAAAGGCTGAATAATAAGACTGAAAACCACTAAGTGAGCTGCACTTTATCCGTGTTGCTGAAGTTAATTTGTGTGGATTAGTGGTGAGATTTATGTCTGATCACAAGTGTTTGCAGTTTCCATTTTCCACCTCCGAAAGAGGGCAGTGCGCATGTTCTCTCATCCAGTACAGTCCCAAAAAGGTTCTGCATCTGTCAGACTGTCTGAAGGGAATACAACCACACCACCAGAGCAAAATGTCCACATAAAAAGTTAGTATTCAAAAAGGTAGAAAAGACCTGACAGCTGCATCATGGATCGTCACATCAGGCTAACTACATGCTGCAGAAGCTAAAGAGAAGGTAGTCTTTACCTCTACCAAACGTCTAAAATTTGTTGCGTGTAAAACAAGCTAATTGTTGTCCACTTTCCTGTTGGTAGATTGGTTAAACAAAGAACAGAAGAAATGCACACGTATCAACGCAAAAGTATCAAATTAAAAACCACATCAACTTCATGAATAACAGCTGTACCTGTTTGATTACATATATCCCAGAGAAGAACATTCTAGCTTTAATTTTTTCATGCTTTTTGTTGTCAAATCACCCTCAGCTTTGGTTTGAAACAGTATTCTATAATTTTCTCTTAGGTTTCCTGAAGTGGTTCTCACTTTACCTGCTACAGGTTTACTGCGAAGCACTAACTAATCCTTGTACTGGAAAGATAGCATCCAGTGAGCTTGTGTGAGCTGTGTGTTGGTGTTGAAGAGACTTAACCTGAAAACCAAATATAATTTACCTTGTGTTTGTCTCTGTGAGGACAGACATAATTTGAGCTAATTCTTCATAATTCCTCAACAGATTTGACCAGGAGAGCTCAGAGGTTCCCAGTGGTCAGTCTGCCCAGCAGCATCAAACACACATGGACTACATATTTATGGTCTGTACATGTACAACAACCTTTCCATATATTCTGTTCACAATAACTTCCATGCTGCACTTTTTAGACCAGTGGATTGTCAGTCTGTCCAACATGGTTCTGATGTTTGGTCCATGATTTTAAGTTAATTGTGTCCTTCATATAATTTTCTGTTCCAGCTGCTGGAGGAGAACATTGTCATTTTTGTAAAGAATGAACTAAAGAAAATCAAGAAGGTTCTGAGTTCAGATGACCCAGAATGCTCAGAGAGTAAGAAGGAGGATGAGGAGGTGTTGGATGGTGAGGAAGAAGAGCAGAGGAGGAGCAGCAGAGAAGCATTTCTGAAGATCACACTGCACTTCCTGAGGAGAATGAAGCAGGAGGAGCTGGCTGAGCGTCTGCAGAGCAGTAAGAGGATTTGAACAGATTTAACCTGCTGGATAAACGGGACATTTACTGATGGTTCTAGAGATTGAGGAAATATGTTTAAATATGCATTCTTTAGGGGAGTAAATTGTCATAATGTATGTTATAAATACCTTACTGATTTATTTTGTATTCATTCAGGACCTCCTGCTCAAGTGTGTCAGCCTAAACTCAAATCCAACCTGAAGAAGAAGTTCCAGTGTGTGTTTGAGGGGATTGCTAAAGCAGGAAACCAGACTCCTCTGAACCAGATCTACACAAAGCTCTACATCACAGAGGGAGGGACTGCAAAGGTCAATGATGAACATGAGGTCAGACAGATTGAAACATCCAGGAAACCAGACAGACCAGAAACAACAATCAGACAAAAGACATCTTTAAACTCACCTGGAAGAGATGAACCAATCAGAACAGTGATGACAAAGGGAGTGGCTGGCATTGGGAAAACAGTCTTAACACAGAAGTTCACTCTGGACTGGGCTGAAGACGAAGCCAACCAGGACATACAGTTCATATTTCCATTCACTTTCAGAGAGCTGAATGTGCTGAAAGAGAAAAAGTACAGCTTGGTGGAACTTGTTCATCACTTCTTTCCTGAAAGCAAAGAAGCAGGAATCTGCAGGTTTGAAGAGTTCCAGGTTGTGTTCATCTTTGACGGTCTGGATGAGTGTCGACTTCCTCTGGACTTCCACAACAATGAGGTCCTGACTGATGTTACAAAGTCCACCTCAGTGGATGTGCTGCTGACAAACCTCATCAGGGGGAACCTGCTTCGCTCTGCTCGCCTCTGGATAACCACACGACCTGCAGCAGCCAATCAGATCCCTCCTGGGTGTGTTGACATGGTGACAGAGATCAGAGGGTTCAATGAACCACAGAAGGAGGAGTACTTCAGGAAGAGATTCAGAGATAAGAGCAGGCCGCAGATCATCTCCCACATCAAGACATCACGAAGCCTCCACATCATGTGCCACATCCCAGTCTTCTGCTGGATCACTGCTACAGTTCTGGAGGAGGTGTTGAAGACCAGAGAGGGAGGAGAGCTGCCCAAGACCCTGACTGAGATGTACATCCACTTCCTGGTGGTTCAGTCCAAAGTGAATAATGTAAAGTATAATGGAGGAGCTGAGACGGATCCAACCTGGAGTCCAGAGAGCAGGAAGATGATTGAGTCTCTGGGAAAACTGGCTTTTGAGCAGCTGCAGAAAGGCAACCTGATCTTCTATGAATCAGACCTGACAGAGTGTGGCATCGATATCAGAGCAGCCTCAGTGTACTCAGGAGTGTTCACACAGATCTTTAAAGAGGAGAGAGGGCTGTACCAGGACAAGGTGTTCTGCTTCGTCCATCTGAGTGTTCAGGAGTTTCTGGCTGCTCTTCATGTCCATCTGACCTTCATCAACTCTGGTGTCAATCTACTGGCAGAAGAACAACCAACCTCACAGAAGTCTGAAACAAGAAGTGATGAAACTGCTGTGAAACAGTTATACCAGAGTGCTGTGGACCAGGCCTTGCAGAGTCCAAATGGACACCTGGACTTGTTCCTTCGCTTCCTCCTGGGACTTTCACTGCGGACCAATCAGGATTTCTTAAAGGGACTGCTGACACAGACAGAAAGATGCTCACAGACCAATTGGGATACAGGCCAGTATATGAAGGAGAGAATTGAGGAGAACTCCTGTCCAGAAAGAAGCATCAATCTGTTCCACTGTCTGAATGAACTGAATGACCGTTCTCTAGTGGAGCAGATCCAACAGTCCCTGAGTTCAGGAAGTCTCTCCACAGATAAACTCTCTCCTGCTCAGTGGTCAGCTCTGGTCTTCATCTTACTGTCATCAGAAAAAGATCTGGACGTGTTTGACCTGAAGAAATTCTCTGCTTCAGAGGAGGCTCTTCTGAGGCTGCTGCCAGTGGTCAAAGCCTCCAAGAAAGCTCTGTATGCACATAGATACTTGCATATACTGAAAATATTTTAGATACACAACTATTACAAATTGAGTTTTAACTGTAAATTCTCCATTCAGATTGAGTGGCTGTAACCTCTCAGAGAGAAGCTGTGAAGCTCTGTCTTCAGTTCTCAGCTCCCAGTCTCCAATCTGAAAGAGCTGGACCTAAGTAACAACAACCTCCAGGCCTCAGGAGTGAAGCTGTTTGCTTCTGGACTGGAGAGTCCACATTGTAAACTGGAAAGACTCAGGTAAGATCAAGTTATTTTTTTTGTCTTGAATGACTTGAGATATTTAAATAAACTATAATCTATATGCGCCTTTCACTAAATGTCAGCTGGGAGAGGCTCCAGCCCTCTGCGGCCCTGTAACCCAGGGTAAGGGGTTGACAATGAGTGAGTGAATAAATGATCATCTATATGTCTTATATGAGGATTATAATTATTTGTATTTTTTAGGGATTTAAGTGTTAAAACTCTTAATCAGTTTATGTTCACACTGAATATTGCTCCCCTGGAATCAAAACTGCTACCGCACCCTCAGATGATCTGCTATGTGTGTTGTTTTGTATGTTTGCAGGCTGTCAGGCTGTCTGATCACAGAGGAAGGCTGTGCTTCTCTGGCCTCAGCTCTGAGCTCCAACCCCTCCCACCTGAGAGACCTGGACCTGAGCTACAATCATCCAGGAGACTCAGAAATGAAGCTGCTGTGTGCTGGACTGGAGGATCCACACTGGAGACTGGACACACTCAGGTATGAAGAGGCCTGCAGCAGTCACAGTCAATATGATAGAGGAGGAAGAGCTGCGAACATTTACTTTGTGACACTGTTAGCCTGGGTCATGTTCACTGACACACCAAGCTAACAAAGGCTGACTGTCTGATCCAACAGTTCATGAAACAAAGTGGCACAATGTTCTTTATTTATTGTGGAAAGACAAATGAAAACAGGCCATCAATCATTTTCACATAACGGTGGACCTTCTAGTCTGGTCAAATGTTCATATGAATTGAGAACAGATCTATCAAAAATAAAAATGGCAATGGCCAATCCTAGCCATATTTAAAAAAAAATTGGATCAGTATTGCTGTTGGATGCCACAAACCTGTTGGGGTGCAAAACAATATGATCTGTGGCAAAAACAAGCGCTTTCAGTGGACATATGGATTGGTGGTGCGCTATTAACGGAAAGCTGCAGCACACTCGCTCAGTACTGGATTTTAAAAGGATATTGTCCCCATTAGTCATTTAGACACAAAACATGAAAAAATGGGGTCTAGGTGGTAAAATACCTTTGGAAAGATGCCTGAAGGGAGGATGATTTTTTTCAGTTCAAAACTTTCAAAATCTAGCTGTCCCTTGCTAGTTGTCCAACATTGCCCACCCAAGCTTTAAGTTTACAACTTCACAAAAGGAGTTTTACAACAGTAAATGAAGAAATGTACCTAAAGTTCATTTCTAGGAGTTATCTGACCAGAACCAAGACAACACTAGACAAACGAGCAGCAATCACTAACTATATGCTTCACTGTTTATTTTCCCGGATTTTTACAACCTCATTGCAGCTGAGCCATGAAAAATCTCTAACATTCTGCTTCATAAATTTTATACTATTATTATTTTTTTTTTTTTAACCTGTCTTGCCCAGCAGCCTGGTATAGAGTATGATGACCTGGATACCATATTGTGCCAGATTTTACTTTAACAAGAGAGTTTTAATATACTCCTTTGTCTGTTTTATTATTTATTTAATTATGTATAGATTTGTCACCGGGCCGGACAGGGGGGCAGACACGGGGATGGGGGGGGGGGGGCACAAACAGACAGCACAGAGAAAGGCACAAGACTTGTAAGAGAAGGGGGATGGAAGGTGGGGACAACAGGGAAAAGCTGTGGGAAACACCAATTGCAGAAAGCAACGAAACCTGCAATAGAACAGAGAGGGGGGCTTGGGGAGGAGAAAAACAACAACAAACAAACAAAAACAAACAATAAAAATAATAATAATAGTAAAAGACAACCAGCCAAACAGCAGCAATAAACAGCTGACATAGTATGACAACTAAAAGAAAAATGAAAACAAGAAACAGTCCAGCACACTAAATAAGCAACACAGCACAGCCACGAGAGCTGGAATAATAATTAATTTAAATAAGTAACTAAAAGAAAAGCATCAGGAATAATTCTACCAGGGACAACCTAAATTTGTTTGTGTCTATGTGTGAGACTGTGTGTGTCTGTGTGAGTGTGAGTGAATGTGTCTGTATGTGTGTGTGTACATGTGTGTGCGCATAAGCCTGTTAAAGAATGTAGTTGTTAGTGAGAGTGGGATGCCACGACTGTGCCACACCTACCCCAGCAACAGGCAGGCAAGAACCCCAGTAGCCAATAGGGGTGGGAGAAAGAAAAAGAATAAATCAATCAAAAAAACAAAGACTCCCAGATGACCGCCACGCAGCGAACAACCAAAATGCCACGCAATCATCAACACCAATGCACAAGTGACGAGCCCAACGCGCACACTGCGCGAGCATTGCCCAGCACGCCCCCCGGCCGCCGTGCAACACCAGCCAAACCAGCAACGAGGCAAAATCAACCAGCTCAGCTGCATGCCACCACCAACTCACCCACCCGTCAAGGGCCGAGAACTCCAGGCACAAGCCCAGAACAAACCGGAGCACAGCCCTGCACCGCACCCACACTGCACATCCCGAAAACTAACTATATACCTCAGTATCCAGAGGGGTCCAACAACTGGCGGACAGAGAAATGGGGAAGCATGGATCCGAGGCCAACGAAGCAAAACAGGGACGCAAACAGGTCCCTCCAAGCCAACGAGGAAATGCCTCCCCCGGACTCCAATGTACAAACTAAATGCCCAACAGCCATTCAGAGACCCTGCCCAGGGAAAAAGCACAAGGCATCAAGATGCATCGACAGTCGCCCTACAATCCCACCGCAGCCCTCCAAACCACAACCGGATCAACCCACCCCCCAGAAGCCAGGGCACGCCGTGACCCCCCAAGGACCCCAGACCGCATGTCCCGGGGAAAGCTGTACCCTGCCCCAAGGAAGAACAGCAGAAAGCCGTGCCGAGAAGCTTTTTTTTTAAAATAACTGTGTATAGTCTGATTCATACCTGTTAGACAGGTAAGTAGTATAATGACATTAGAATGAATGAGAACTGAAAATAATGAGCCGTAGAAAAAAATACATACACAGGAATGTAGTGTCCATGTTTGATGCTGAAAGAGGATGTGCTGGTTTGACCCCCCTCCTTCTTTTAGGTTGGAGCCTGGTGGAGTCCAATGGTTGAGACCAGGTCTGAGGAAATGTAAGAGTGTTTTTCATTTGATTCATAATAACAGTATAATAGCAGCATAAATTCAACCATCTTCAGACTGTGACATCACTCATTCAAATCTCTGATGTCATGATGATAGTGATAAAGAAAAAGTTCAGACTAGGCCAGCTAAAACCCTTAAATCCATCTTCACAACCTTAAAAATCCTGCCAAAATAGACAGTAATTTTAAGTCCAAAAATATACTGGAGTCAGTCAAAAATAGGTGCAGAAAGAGTCTATTCTCTTCAAAAAAAAAAAAAACAGATTTACATTCTGGCTGGCACAAGATTCTGAGTGGTTTTTTTTAAGATTAACATGCATAAATTGACACCATTAAAAATTTAAAACGACAGATTGCATTTCTTTAAAGATTAAAAAGAATTCTGATTACACAATCAAAAGTTGTGTATATATTGTGTTTCATGATATAGCATAACACAATATACGATGATGTTCTAAAATGTTACATGTAGTATCTTTAACATACACAAAAATACACATTTATAGATTAATAACTGCAGATGTATTGTGTCTCGTTCTCTCCATCAGATTCCTGTGAACTCGCCCTCGACACAAACAGTGTACACAGAAAGATCAAACTGTCTGACAACAATAGGAAGGTGACATATGTGAAAGAGGAGGATCAGCCATATCCTGATCATCCAGACAGGTTTGACTACTGGGAACAACTGCTGTGTAGAAATGGTTTGACTGGTCGCTGTTATTGGGAGGTTGAGTGGAAAGGAAGAGTTGATATATCAGTGAGTTACAGAGGAATCAGAAGGAGAGGAGACAGTGATGACTGCAGGTTTGGAGGGAATGATCAGTCCTGGAGTCTGACGTGCTCTGATGGTCGTTACTCTGTCTGGCACAATAACACAAGAACATCCATCTCCTCCTCCTCCTCCTCCTCCTCTAACAGAGTAGCAGTGTATGTGGACTGTCCTGCTGGCACTCTGTCCTTCTACAGAGTCTCCTCCACACTGATCCACCTCCACACCTTCAACACCACATTCACTGAACCTCTTTATCCTGGGTTTGCAGTCTGGTACAGGTCTGGTTCCTCACTGTCTCTGTGTTCTCTGTAGGAGGGAGAGTCTCGTGATGTTAGAGAAACATTCCCATAGCTGAGTGTGTACAGGATCACTGTTACAGAAATCTTTTAGGTTCTTGTAATAAATTAATGACTTAACTTTGCACGAAGTGATTGAACAGATTTCCATTGTAAACGTCTTCCTTTTCCAGTCCCTTTAAAGACGGAAGCTCTGATCATTAAATGGTGAAATGCCGTTGACTTGTACCTTCTGTCATGTGTTGTTTTGAATTCTGGCTGTTGTTCCAATAAAAGCAGAGTGTTACTGTGAATGTGTATGTTGTTTTTCTCAGGTCTGGAATACTGACATGATTCAGCTGGAAGATACAATAAATGGCCAAATGTTTTCTGATGCTATTGTCCATATAAAAATGCTTTATGGGTTGGTTAGGAAAAACAATTCCAATTACAAAACAGTGAAAATCAGTATCTTCACTTCCCAAATGATTATAAAGTGCCAATTAAAGGAAAGATAACACAATGGTAAACATGCCTCTGTTCCAACTTTTGTTGAGTGTTGCAAGCATGATATGAATATGAACATGAATATGTTGTTCATATTGACAAAATACAAAAAAATTAAAAACTTTTCTCAGTTAAGTTATGTAGCTACAAGTGCATCATAGTTAAGCTGTTAAGTAATAGTTTAATTTTCTCTGGATGTTGTTCACGAGTGACAATGGCACGTGAGATGGACAGGCCGTTGTGCGCACCATCAGCCGTAGTGTAGGCATTGTACCGGCCGTTGTGGTGAAGAGGGAGCTGAGCCGAAAAACAGACAGGGGACAAAAAGCAGACCTGCCCCAGACGACCTGAGAGGTCTGGATGTTTCATAACGAAGCAGAAGATCAGAAATGTATTTTGGTCTAAACCATTTAGTGCTTTATAAACTAACAGCAGGATTTTGAAATCAATTCTTTGACATACAGGAAGCCAATGTAAAGACCTCAGAACTGGAGTGATGTGATCCACCTTTTTGGTCTTAGTGAGGACTCGAGCAGCAGCGTTCTGAATCAGCTGCAGCTGTCTGATGGATTTCTTAGGGAGCCTGTAAGGACACTGTTACAGTAGTCGAGTCGACTGAAGATAAATGGATGGATAAGCTCTTCCAGGTCCTGTTGAGACATAAGTTCTTTAATCCTTGATATATTCTTCAGGTGATAGTAGGCTGACTTTGTAATTGTCTTAATGTGGCTCCTCAAATTCAGGTCTGAGTCCATGACCACACCAAGATTTCTGGCTTGATTTGTGGTTCTTAACATTACAGATTGAAGTCGAGCACTGACTTTCAATCGTTCCTCCCTGGCTCCAAAAACAATAACTTCAGTTTTATCCTTGTTTAATTGAAGAAAATTCTGGCACATCCAATTGTTGACCTGCTCAATACAGTTACTCAGCGCCTGTATGGGATATATAGTCCCCTGGTGAAATGGTTGTGTAAATCTGTGTGTCATCTGCATAATTTTGGTAACATATTTTGTTGTTTTTCATAATCTGAGCCAGTGGAAGCATGTAAATGTTAAACAAAAGAGGTCCCAGAATGGAGCCTTGGGGAACTCCACATGTCATTTTTGTCAGCTCAGATGTGTAATTACCTATAGACACAAAGCAGTCCCTGTCCTTTAAGTAGGATTCAAACCATTTTAATACTGTGCCAGAAAGTCCAACCCAGTTTTCAAGTCTGTCTAGTAATATGTTGTGGTCGACCGTGTCGAATGCAGCACTGAGATCCAATAATACTAAGACTGAAATTCTGCCACTGTCTGTGTTTAAATGTCATTGAAGACCTTAACAAGAGCTGTCTCAGTGCTGTGGTGTGGTCGAAAACCTGACTGGAAGACATCAAAACTGTTATTTAGTGCCAAGAAAGCACTAAGCTGTGATTTTACTTAAAAATGGGAGATTTTTGAAAAAACCTGTTTGTCAGAATTTCAAGGCAGCATGAGGAGAATTTCAGATGTTGTATTATGTCCTCCAGGTTTTTATGGTTAAGTGGACACAGGGACAAGACATATCCTGTTACTGACATGGAGGCACTGATTGCTTGTCTAATTGTTTGAATTTTGTCTGTGAAGAAGGAAGCAAATTCATTGCAGGCCCTGATAGAAGTTCAGAGGCTACAGACACGTGCGTGGGCCTCGTCACATGTTGAGTCAGTCCATAATTATCAAGAACACAACACAGTTCTTTAGTCCTTCTGTCCTGGGGGTTGTCAACATGGATGTTAAAATCACCAACAATAAAGACAGTCAATACAGATTATAGACAGCAGTTCACCAAAGTCATCAAAAAAGTTTGCACAGTATTTAGGGGGCCTGTAGATATTTAGAAAAATAGCTCGAGAAGACGAATTCAGCTGAAGAGTCACATATTCAAAAAAGAAGCAAAATTCCCATAAGACATCCTTTTGCATTGGAGGGAGTGATTTAACAAAATGGCAACTCCACCTCCTCTCTTATGCACTCTAGCTTCACTCATAAAACCGAAGTTGGGAGGGGTAGACTCGATAAGGACAGGTGCACTGTTATCTTGGTCCAACCAAGTTTCAGTTAAAAACATGAAATTAAGATTGTGAGTGATTATAGAATCATTGATTAAAAATGTTTTTCCTGCCAAAGACCTAACGCTTAACAAAGCTAATTTTAGTGTGTTAAAAACATTTTCTGGCCCACTTTTTTCGTCATGCTGCGGCTGACGAGGAATTAATACTAAACTTGCAGGATATGTTGAGTGCTTCCTGTTTCTTAACACATTCACCGTGCTTTTTCTGTTACCTATCAAGACAGGGATGGAGAAGACTACCAGCACACTGGTTGTCCTGGGAAGAGTCGTGAGTGCTATTTTTCTTGTAGCCGGGATCAGACAGAGCTTACTGGGCTTTTTTGCCATTGTGGAGCGGGAGGACGGGTTGGGCGCTGTACTTTTGACAGATGTGTCAAACCTGGAGGACTTAGAACCAGTGGTGGAGGTGGATGGTGAGGGGGGTTTATGGTAGAGAAAATGGGAGTGGAGCGAGGGAAGGTGCGGGGAGTAAATTTGGTCCCAGCTCTAACCAGGTCTTCCATGTGATCAGTGAAGTCCAACAGGGGGGATAGGGGAGAAAGGGTGTCTGGAGATAAGGGTGACCTGGATGGGGATTGGTGGGGTAAAGATGGTGAATCCTCACTGTTGGTTTTCAGTGAGGGAGGTGGAGGCTCTTCCTCTTGGCTCAGATGTCTCCCGTGATCAGAGATCTCTTCCGGCGGGGGCTGAGGAGGCTCTCCTTCAAGGTTTCTGGTGTGTTGTGTTATGTCTTCTTCTTGTTTAGATTCCTCTTGTCTCTTGTCCTTGGCAGAGGGAACTGATGAGTGACGCAGAAAGTAAAACAGGTTGGAGCTAAACAATTTTACTCCTGACTTGTTAAGGCGAAGTCCATCTGCCTTAAAAATATGTTTGCGGTCCCACAGAAAGTAAAAGTTTTCGATGAAATGCACTGAATGGACAGTACATGCCGTTGAGAGCCACATGTTCAATGCCATCAGTCTGCTGAATCTCTCAGCTCCTCTTTGGATTGGCGGTATAGGGCCACTGATAAAAACCTCAGCATTCAAAGAGCTGACCAACAGATTATTAAAGTCCTCTTTCAACACTTCAGACTGTTGCTTCACAACATCATTGGTCCCGATGTGCAGTATGATGTTTTTCACAGTAGGATGTTCAGCTATGATGTTCACGATATGCAGGATTCTTTCTGCCAAGTCAGACACCATATCCTTCGGAAAGCAGAGTATTTTGGTGTTCTTACTGCTCATGCTTCTTACATCATTTACAGCAGCGTCATCCACAATCAGAGTTTGAGGCCCAGTCGTTAGCTTTCCCTGTAGCCTTTTACTTTCTGATTTACTCTCAGTCCTTATCCTTCTGTGTGAGGACGGGATGTTATCCAGGTCATCAGACGGAGATCCAGGGTCATGCAATAGTGGTGAAAATCTATTCTGCTTCGGTTGTTGTGGAGGTTTGTTGCTAACTCTCCCTTTCGCAGCTGTCCATGGCTGTGTCCTACCAAGAACAGGGGTTGAAGAGGCGCTCTGCCTGGATGATAATGCAGGCCAGCCAGTCGCATCACAAATCTCTGTAGAGAGAGATACACAAATGAAATGGCATCGCTTTCAGTATATGCGTTTGTTAAGCACAATTCAATTAAAATGTGACTGTGAACGAAAATAAAATAGCACATTGTAGTTTCTGTATTTATTACCAAAGCATTTATCAGTAGCCTAATACGGTTAAAATGGAAATAATTGTCCAGCCCTAATACAACATAAGAAATATCAGGCCCTACCTTACTCAGTATGCCACTCAGCTTGTCATACAGGTCATGGTTATCTCTCGCCTCGAATATTGCAATGCCCTCCAAACAGGTCTTCCAGCTTGTGCTGGTTCAAAACTCTTGTTCAGAACTCTTGTTTACTTAGAATTAAATAGAATTAACAATGGCAGCAAACTCAATGCAGAGTAACATTTTAACTCCCTTGCTCAGTACAAGTGGTTTAGTTATTATTCTTCTCATCATAGCACAATATATTTAAAACACAGCTCAGGTTTCATGGTCTTGTTCTGCAGTGGTGACTTGCTTATTCAAACCCAGGAGGCAGGTGTCATCCTGAAGTTTCTTGAAGGTCTTCTATACCTCAAAAACACTATTAGTATCTTTAATAAAAATTGTTGTGGCATTGTTATTGCATAGGAACAGGGAAAAAAGGTTATGAATGTATGGGAAATTAAGAGGAAGATGTTTAGCTAAATAAGTTTATTATGATGTAATGATTGCTGATGGACTTGGACTTGCTGCTGGTGTTTCTCCCCTGACTTTCGCCAGCAAGTTCTACCACTCGCTCTCTCTTTTCCCTAGCAGACAGGATACACAGGGGGCTGCCGGGCACGGAGTGTCATCGTGCTCACTCAGTGTGCGGGTTGGGGTCCTCACTTGCCCATTGATGTTGATAGTTGATGCCGCAATGGATAAGATGCCTGCCTTTGGTGTGAGACCCGGGTTCAATCTCCCACTGTGATCCATCCACCATTGTGTCCCTGAGCAAGACACTTAACCCTTCGTTGCTCCAGAGGCGTGCAACCTCTAACATACAGGTGCTGGTCATATAATTAGAATATCATCAAAAAGTTGATTTATTTCAGTAATTCCATTCAAAAAGTGAAACTTGGATATTATATTCATTCATTACACACAGACTGATATATTTCAAATGTTTATTTCATTTAATTGTGATGATTA